TCGCCATTCCCAGGAGACGAGAGTACGCATTCGTAAATGCCACGCCCAACCTCATGCGACACAGTAAAGTTTCAGCGCATCGTGGGAGCCCGAATGGCAGACGAAGTTGCAAGTTTGAGTCGATCGAATACAGGTGTGTGATGGAGAAACCCGACGTATTCCATTGTAGGAGAGACGTACGGCGAGGAAGTGATTGTAGTTGCCTTGCAGCGTCCGTTCTCAGGAGTGGTATGGGCGTACGCAGGTCTTGGTCATAATGCGGATCGAACACCAAAATTCGCGATGTCAGCATACCGTCACATGATGATGTCATCACACGACGAGGGGACTCCGGCCAACTACATTTACGAGGACAAAATGGCAGATGACACACTCACACGTGTGTGTCGTCTGCATTTCTGTCCAGGTGATCTCGTTGTAAAGGTCAGACGCTGTAGCACGCTTAGTGTAGCCTGAGCGTGAGAAAGAAAGAAAGAAAGAAGGCAAGAAAGGAAGGAAGGAATAAAGAAAGAAAGAAAGAAAGAAAGAAAGAAAGAAAGAAAGAAAGAAAGAAAGAAAGAAAGAAAGAAAGAAAGAAAGAAAGAAAGAAAGAAAGAAAGAAAGAAAGAAAGATCAACCAGAAGCACGTCTGGTATGCTATCTAACGCTTGGGGAAGGGGATTTCATTTTATGAGAGTGTACTTGCAAACACGGACGAGAAAGAAAGAAAGAAAGAAAGAAAGGAATAAAGAAGGAAAGAAAGAAAGAAGGAAAGAAAGAAAGGAAGAAAAAGAAAGATCAACCAGAAGCACGTCTGGTATGCTATCTAACGCTTGGGGAAGGGGATTTCATGTTATGAGAGTGTACTGGCAAACACGGACACTCGCGAGGGAAAATTAAACAAACGCTGTGGTCCTGATTTCTCTCTTTTATGCCTCATTGGACTTCCCATCATCATCACCGTATATTTTATTATTGCGATAGCAATTATATGGACACTTGTGGCTGGATAGCGTCGCTGGAGTTGACGTCGATTTTATGCACCGTATATCTATCTATCTATCTATCTATCTATCTATCTATCTATCTATCTATCTATATATATATATATATATATATATATATATATATATATATATATATATATATATATATATAAACGCAGGAAAAAAATCCAAAAATAAAGACTCCGACGCGCGGAATCGAACGTGGAACCTCCGTGACGTGAATGCGAGGCGCTAACCAGTGAGCCACCGAGAGTTACTTTCTTCAACGTTCAAACGGCAAGCTATATATATATATATATATATATATATATATATATATATATATATATATATATATATATATATATATATATATATATATATATATATATACCACTTACCGCTGTTTGCAGGCATCTCGGAGGAGAACTATCGTGTTTTCAGCATTATCAGCAATATGGCGCAATGAGCGCGCGGCGGCTCTCATCTCAGACGCGTACTTTGGCCCGCGGAGTGGAAGAGAGTGGACGATCTCTCGCGCGCCCTCACCTCCCGTTCGGGAGGACCATACGTCTTGGCAAGCGTTGGGCTTGCACTGGAACGATTCTGTTGTTGTTACCGGGCGCACAAAGGTCACTGCAATCGTTGTACAGCCCCCGTTTGCAAAAAGGGCGCGCTTTTCAGACACATAGAAGTAACAACTGAAGCGCTTATTCGCGTTCATCTGGGCCTGTGAGCACGTCTCGTGCATCTGTTGTGCGTGAGAAACGCTGGGCACGTTTCGATATGCTTGGCATTCTGCGCGTGACCTTCCAATTCGTTGCTATCGCGTTCATTGCTTCGCCTTTGCGGCAAAGCTGTGGCTTTTTTTTATTTTTGTCAGGAATCCTCTGTAATTCTGATGATTTATTTGTAAATTCCCGTTCAACTGTGCATCGATTTCCCGCGAGCAGCAAGGGGCGTACGCTCGCTCTCTGTCTTAGCAGCATCGCTAGCGTGCTTCCAAAAGCGCGCGTCCACTGTTAGCCTTCACAATAGCTCTGAGATATTCTGCGGCTGCAGAAACGCCGTGTTTTGAGTGCCCACCGAGCCGGTGTCTGAAAGAGTCATGCTTCTTTGAGCGAGGCGAGGCGAAGCACCTCGTTCAGCTCCCGTAACACGTTCCGTGTGTGTAGGCTTAGTGCGTCCTCTCTGCAGCGATAGCCATTTTCTATTGAACTTTCTCGTAGCGAAAAGGGAAAAAAAAGATTGTCAAGACACTGCGAGGGAGCGATTAGAGACAGCTGGCGACACGCAGTTTAGCCGAAGGCAGGCACTCCATTCTTCTCACCACTGCCAAGAAGGTTTTTATGTTTATGTTTGAATCTCTTCCCTCTATTCTAAGCGCATGCGCCGTGAGCTTTGCGCGTTAACTTGTCCCTCATGCCTCGTTCTACACCCAATCACCGGCCTTGCATTTGTGCGCGTGGGTTTTTTCTTTTTTGTTCTTGATTTCATAGAACGAAGGCGCTATTCTTTCGAAAACATGGTGGTGCGAGTGAGCCATCAAGAAAAGAGTAGCGGTTCGAAAAGCTGAGAAGAACGCGCTGGCTGAACTCTTTAGCGCGAGTGAACAAACAAATCAACATCGCAAACACAGCGACCATGGTAAACTTTTCAACCAGACCTGACGGGCGCCAGAAGTAAGCTACCGTTAAAGATCTTTATTGTGGGTGAGGAGAGGAGAGCTCAGAAGAAGGCGGTGGGGGAGATGAAAATGGCGCAGATGCTCTTCACTCTGCGTCGGTACAATGCAGATGTACCGACGCTCAGTGTTACTGGTGCTCTACGGAAAGGCGCTCTATCAAATTCGCATGAAGCGTGAAACGAAAGATTTTACTCATTGAAATCTAATAGCCCTATAGTCTAACGTGCGAAAACCAGCATGTGAGTATTAGGCACGCCGTAGTGGAAGGCTCCGGAAATTTTCACCCTTTGGCGTTGTTCAACGTGAACTGAAAGTGCAAAGAACACGTGCTTCTATAGCATTTTGTCTCAATCGTAAGTGAGACCACCACTGCCGGTATCGAACTCTCGACCTTTGAATCAGCAGCCAAGAAACTGTAACCGCTGTACCAACGCGGTGGACTACTCGTATAAAATTCTGAAATGCTTAAATTTATTGGCGCTAATGACAGTGAGCTCTGGTGTTTTCGGCGGCGAGTATAACCGTGTACATCGATCAGTGAGTTCACAAAGACCTTTTGATGGAGACCAAATCTGATGAATGTTTGGGATGAGCAGCTGCTCATTCCAAGCTGCTCAGCTATAGCTGCCGTACGTAGGGGAATGTTAGTCTGTATATTGTTGGTAAAATTTAGTAAAAAATGTATTTGCGTGAACGATCTATTATAAGTTGAACTCTCGCAAGCGATGTGTTCACTGTCAAGGTATTTTTTGTATTTTTCTGCTTGCTATATTTTTATTTGTTTATTTTAGTTACTGGTTATAATTTGTTTGTTTGTTTTGTCTTCTATAACTTATAAAAATGAAGTAGCAAAGTCAGGTAAACGTAACCCTGCGCTCAGCAAGCCAGTTGGGACAAAACTCTAGTTTCCAAGAGTCTAGCTTTAATAATTAAGCAAAGTACACAGCTGAAGAAGCGACCTCAGTAAAACAAGAGTATAAGTAAGGCACCTAACCTGCGGTACCCTGACTAGGGTGCAGTAAATACGGGTGCTCGGCTACCAGATACATCGTCTTCCACAATGAAAACAACCGACGCATAAGTCATGAAGTAACTGTGCTGAACACTTTTTGCTTTCTTGTGTAAGTGAATACTACGCTGAATTTTACCGTAACATCAAGGGGGGGGGGGGGGGAGTCAAAAGGGGAAACAGGAGGAACTTGCACCTTCCGCTCACTTATGTGCTAGCTCGAGGCATTAGACTCCGACGACGCGGTCAAGAAAACCAGGCAACGCTATATACGTATCTGCATTCGAGCTTCTAAACGACGGGTGATTTGCGTAAGTGGTCCGGCTTTGTTCGCACTGAAGCTGGGCCTAAGAGCCCTCTTAAGTACACCTCTGGAGCGTGAGCTATTAGGTACCAGCTTGTGATTTTCTTTCATTTTCGTTCTTATGTATTACTATGTGCTACTATTTGTCTTGTCATCATTTTGGCAATCATTTCAACTTTTCTTTATAGTCATTAGTTTGTACATATTGAAGGCTTTAGCGCACAGCTATTGATTTCTGGCGCCTATATGGGCCTCGACGTCTTAAAGGTTGTAAGAGTTGATGCAGTTTTACTTTGTCTTCTGCTGACTTAACGATGAGAGCGCTGCATTAACAATATTTTGGTCATCGAAGAGTAAAAGTACACGAAGGTTTTTTTTTGTTTTTTAAATACTGATTCCTACGTGTAGCTTACATTTAACCCGCTCATCTAAATGTGCAGACGAGTCTATTGTTAAAGGAAACACTCGCACACAGAGTTTGCGTACAGGGCGCATATTTGCATAATACTACTGGTGGTCGACAGTTTTCACACCTTTCGACGGACTATACACTCTAAAAAAAGAGCGAGTAAAAAGGGTGACTTTTTGTCCCACAACAATAATCATCATCTATATTGCGTTCCATCCTCGCGCTATCGCCCCGCTATCAGTACATTCCTGTCACGATCGACATGCCCACTATCAGGGTTACATTGCATTCTCGATAGGAAAGTGGCCAGCGCCGAGTTTTCAAGAAAGGAAGCGCACGCAAGCCTGCTGACGATTATTGTTGTGGGACAAAAAGACACCCTTTTTACTCGATATTTTTTTTAGTGTAGTGCTGTGCAAGCTCAAATGTTTCTGCATCCACTTGCAGCCAGGGGACCAACAGTATGAAAGAGGCTCATTCGAGTGTTCCCTTTAACAGTAGACCGCGCCGTACACTCTGCTTTTCCCGCCATTCAAAGCGCGTCTTGACTCGCGCGAGTTTCTGGCCGCGAGCGAACGCTCCTTTTTCGTGACGTCATTTGTTGCGATTCCTCGTACTCCCGCCAGGTGCTGTGTCAAATTCCCACTGGCCGACGGGAGGACGACATTGAAACGGTGACGTCATTCGGACGCCGTCGACGGAGGAGCACCGCTGACGCCGACCCGATGCCCGAGGATGAGCTTCGTCACAGCACCCTCACCAAGAAGCTGTCCGTAGTGGCCGCCGAGTTCGGAGTGGGCCACCAGACGCAGGACGTCAGCTACGCGTTTCCGGTCACGGCACCGACAACTTCCGGTAGGACATTTACGATTGCGTTTGGAAACGAGTGTTGACTGAAATAGAATGGGCTTTTTTTTGTGGTCATTGCTGGATAGATTTCTCCGCGCGATACGCCAGCCACGCGTTGCTCCCGGCCGGTACTCGAGATAAACAGCGCGTCAAAAGTATCGTGTCACTTGGCATTGGCCCGATAATTTAACGTTATCACATATTGAGCACTAATTACATTTTGGTTGTTAATATTTCATATTGTATCCATTGTTCAGTGCTCTGTATTGACACCCAATCCTGCAGGAACCCAGAAGGGCTGGAGTGTGTACAAGTAAAAGATACACAAAATCAATAATAAGCACATACAGCATGGTCCCTAAGTGCACCTACTGGACTTTTTTTTTAATATGTGCCATATTTGTCACATGGCAGAAGTTTAGGGAAAATGGATCGAGGCGTGAAGAGATGTTTCGGTAACCAGTCTGGTCTTCTTCAAGGCAGCAACTAGCCTTGTCTTATTCAAGACGTGATTAGTTGTCGATACGTCGCCTTGAGCAACACCCTATGTTAATACTCATATCATTCACACAAGCTTCGAGCTCGGATGTGTTTATCGAGTCTGTCGGACATGGGTGTTTGGAATTGAGAATTGCGATCTTGCTCCTATAGCTTTTGAGTGTTTGGTCGTTTTGGTTTCAGATTCTTTCTCCTTGCCTGAGTGCCAGTATCAGGCCTGTCTTCATGACTGTACTAATCAGTAGGTACAGAGATTGGCCTTTCGTGAATTGCACATTGCATCATCAAATGAATCTCTAAATTTATTACGCAATGAAGTCATTATTGACCTGCGGGTCTTTTGATGTGCAAAATAAGCGTTAATTAACATCAGTGATGCTATTCGCGTACGTCTGTAAAATAAGATTTTCACAAGAAAGCACACTATAGATTGTGTTTTGTTCGTAGATGGCAACGGTCGCTTTGCATGATATGTTCGAAATGTAATTACTTCGCTAGTGATGAAAAGTACCAGCAAGTAAGCTGCGTCTCCTTGTACCCTCACCGTGGCCAATGAAGCCCGAATACATAACCGACTGCCTGTTTTGCTGTACGCAACACTCAGCATTGTAAAGTAGGCGTGATTTGCCATAATAGTCTCACGAAGAGAAAATTTCAGCCTCATTTTTTACATCTAGTAAGCGGAGACACAAGATTTCACATCCGCGTCGTAGCTTTCTAAATTTTATGCAGAGAAGAGTGAATTTCGTCCGCACCGTTCTGCTGTAAGAACTACTCTTCAGCAGTTCTATATAAAAGTAAACTCGTTTCCCAATGCAGTGCGATGTTTTTACTGTAAAACATCGAATGCATAAACGGAGCTCAGCGATGCCGCATTTTGTCAACAATACGAGGCGTGCATATAAATTGCGCCTTTTTTAATAACCCAGTGTCTATTCTCCCGGCAACCGGGATAATTGTGCAAAAACATTTCTCCCGGTGGTCGCCTCCCATTGGCTCTCATATGTCACGTGACTAACTGCCGTGGGGAGAAGAGAAAAATGTGGCTGCTGCGGGACAGACTGGGCATACGTAGCCTAGCGTGCGTCAAATTAGGTTAGGTTAGGCTGCGAGACAGACTGGACAGACGTGGCCCAGCGTGCGTTGGGTTAGGCTAGGTTACGTTAGGTTATGTTGAATAGGTTAGGTTAAGTTATACCAGTTGCCGGGAGATTCTCACAAAAACTTTATCCCGTCAGTTAGTCACGTGACTTATGAGAGCCAATGGGAGGCGACTGCAAGGAGAAATTTTTCGGTCACTTATCCCGGGTGTCCGGGAGAATAGACACACCTTTTTTTTTTTTAACATGAAATTTGGACCAGCATGGTCGTCGGCAAGTTTAAAGGGACCCTGAAACAGTTTTGACGATTTTTCACAAACGCATTGGGCTGGTAGACCAAGTCACAGGGGTAATTTAGAGACCGATTTGAGCCGTCTGCGTAAACTGTGTAATTTATTACAACGCTTTAAAGCTGAGAATTGCTCCAGATCGCTGCAGATGGTTGCGACTTGGTCAAACGCGTTTTCAACCACCCATACCCCAAGCGACACGTTCTGCCGCACTGACGTCATCGTTTCCAGCTGATCTGATTGGCTGTGGAACGCGCAGCATAGACTGCCGGTATCGGATCGGTGGCGGGATTTACACGTATGCGGCTTCACGACACAGCCTGACCCAGGCGCCGTGAAGGCGGAGCTTAGCCCCGAGCACTCGAAGGAAGGGTTGAGGGCAGTTGAGGGCTAAAGGCGAAGCTGATGAGGAGGGTAATTTCTTAGTACTCGTAGCTCCGTTAATAATGAGTGTTTTGATTGAACTTTGGTGCCAATGATTTGCTCCAGTAGGTGTCTATTCAAAAAACAGAATGTGAAAAAGCCATTTCAGGGACCCTTTATCACAAATGCTCCGCCGCGAGTCCTGAAACGATTTTATTCATCCTGTACGTTGCCGAGAGTGCATGTCGACATACCGTTGAAGCATATCGACGTGTTATCTCGGCCGCAATGCCCAGCGATTTGAGACTGGCATCACTCAAGGTAGTCCAAGTCGCGCATCGGAGCGTTCACGTTGAGGTTGCTGGCGACTGCACTTCTCTCACAAAGGCGTTGGTGACGAAAGTACATAAGCGTCACTATTGCTTCTTTTATAGGATGCGAAACTTTTACCCTCTCTTACTCTGCCTTGAAGAGGAGGGCGCACTGGCGCTGCTCACCATACATGTGGAAGTTGCAAGATTCCTCGTGCAGTGAGCTAAGATGTTTGGAAGGCGAAAGCAGCCGTCTTTTTTTTTTTTTCTTCTCAGTCGACCTAGTGACCCTTCTCGGTACCACTCTCAAAGCTTTCTGTGCCTAACGTGGCTCTGCGTTCCATCCACGCTGAAAAACAGTTAAGGTGCACAAAGCTTGTACTGCCGGCAAGGTCATAGCGTAAAATCATAGATTTTCTTTCTTGATATGCATCGATATACGTGCGTTATTCCTCTTGTGAGGCGTGCACGGAGTTGTATACTTGGCGTCAGGACGCGTGGACGGAATTCACTTGGTCTGTCTTGGCATTTCGATTTCCAAAATAAACCTGAAAAAAAAAATCATACAGACACCAACCACCGAACGATAGTCGATGTGGCAATTCTTATGCTGCCATCGATGATTTCAATCTAACGCTATTGTTGAGAACCCCCCATCCTCCACCTCCCCGAAGTTTGGTTCTTTCTTTCTTTCTTTCTTTCTTTCTTTCTTTCTTTCTTTCTTTCTTTCTTTCTTTTTTTCTTTCTTTCTTTCTTTCTTTCTTTCTTTCTTTAAGCCTAACAGTACCCTTATGTGGCTAGGATGCCCTGCGGGTAACGCGAGAGTCGTCTTTTAAAACAAGAACCCCGAGTCACCTTTCGGACAAACACGTGGGGAGAAAATTTGAGCCACGTTCAAGCAAGCAAGAAGAACAAAAACAAACGCAGCAGCAAGCCGAACGTCGACTAAACTCGACTCTGAAGAAATTTGCTTCTTTTGTTTATCTTTTTTTTTTGCGTCTAGCGAAGCTTATACTTTAGATGCATGCACAATAGATGCGATAAAAGCATATACGAGCGCGCAAAGGCGGTGACATCTGCGAACCCGATGCACTTTCGTTGGAAAACTGACGGCTTCTTTTATTCAGCGACGGCCGTGCAGTTGCTGTCGTTCTGCGACGCCGGCAGCGCGTTGAACTTTCGCCCTGAAACTACGCTGTTATTGAAGTGTTCTGAATTGTATTTGACAGCCAACGTAGGGGCGTAAAGAACATCGATATCAAACTGTGACGAGTCTGAATATGATCGCACCACGTTTTGTGACTTCTGTGCCCGATATAGACTTACTTCGGAATCGGTCCTTTTTGGGTGCGAATTCGAATGCCAGGTGCGGTGAAGAGTTTTCGAAAATGCTATTATTTTGCGCCAAGCCGATATAGCGCAATCGCAAGGTGTTTCAGAGAGCTTTTTTTTCTTTTCAGAGTTCACATGAAAGTGAACCTGAACACGTGAAGCAAACTCAAGAACAGGCCTGTTTTGCGAAAAAGACTTCCAGGATTTCGTTAGATACCCAGACTCCTGATGGGTAAAGCTAAGATCAAGGTGTCGTGGTGCAGCTCAAGCTCGTTTTCTCTCTCCCTCTCTCTGTTTTATATATATGTAAGCCCATGTACTTACTCCCGACCGGGCTGCAGAAATTAGGTGCCTTTATCCTCTTCTAACCACCACCACCACAACCCCATTGCGTCCCCGCAATGACAAACTTCGAAAAGACTGGCTAATCTGGCGCAGTTAAGCCCAAGGAAAACGCTCACTCATAACCCTGCGTTAAGCCTAACGCGCGCGAATATCGTTGGGTCACACTCGCCACCGCGGAAGTTTTTCTCTTTTTTTATTTATCATGGGGCTCTATCTCGGAGACTTCCCCGCAACGGCTGGCTCTTTTTTTTTCCTTTTTTTTTCTTTCCTTTTACAGTCCTTTCGTGGTTAGCAGTGCGGGAAAGTTTACCTCGGCGAATCGTTGGGCTTCTGCGATCGTGCTCAGAAATGACGCTTCTGCTGCGTGCCAGCCAGAGCTTCTGCGTCTGTCGGAATGCAAAAGAACTTTGCCGCGATATTCAGCTCGCGCATCGCGGCTTCTTTTCAGCTGGTGTGAAAGTTCGCGCAAAGCTCTCGCGTAAACGCTTTTTTGCATACCGCAAAGATCGTCACTTGCTACATGAAGTATACATGTTTGGACGGCCATCAACAGCAATACGGAAGCTCTGTCTGCCTGAAAGCTGATTGATTGATTGATTTGTGGGGTTTAACGTCCCAAAACCACTATTTGATTATGAGAGACGCCGTAGTGGAGGGCTCAAGAAATTTTGACCACCTGGGGTTCTTTAACGTGCACCCAAATCTGAGTACACGGGCCTACAACATTTCCGCCTCCATCGAAAATGCAGCCGCCACAGCCGGGATTT